GGATTGCCACTGGGAGCTTTGACCGCTAATAAGAAGTGCTTTAAAAGGTTTTCTAATGGCTCTATTCAGTTTTGTCGAACCATAAGCTGAAGGTTATTATCGCGAAATAGGAGGAAATTGGCTTTGCTTGGGGACTTTCACTTTTCTTACTTTTAGTTTATGTTATTTGTAATAGGAAAGTCATAGCTGGAACAATTTGTTATCTTTTTCTATGTTACCAAAGAAAAAATGGATTTTTTAGCAAGATTTATTTCATACAAACACTTCAAGTGCCAAAGTTCGTTATATTTTACCATTACAACCCTATCGTTTTGAAGTGTTTCGTTTGTACAGAGTGTAAGTAGCCACTACAATCCCTAGCATGTACTCGTTAGTATAAGTATAGCTCTTTGAGTGTTTTTCTTGTTTTAGGTGTCAAATGTATGTGATAAAGTGTTGAAACGTTTCTTATTAATTGATTTATATAAATTACAAGAGGTAATTAATTATTCCTATCGATTGAATTAAATATTAGAAACCGGAATAATTTAATATAAATTTCAGCGAATCGATTCAAAACCTGTTGCTCTAATTTTATTCCCTTTATAACTATTTCTATAAACCCAACATTGAATAAATTACGCACGTGACGGCATATGGCGACACAACTGATTTGCATAAAACACTAAGGCAAATAAACGAGCTTCGGTACTCAGAGTATATCGTCGGCCAATTATAGGAAAGTGAGAGTACAGGAACAAGTTCGACGTGAGATTGTAATTGTGCTTCGGTCTATTTGCAATAAATTCCGTCCGACGATGGATATTCTCTCACTTTTCATATGTGCGCGTAAATTATTAGTTCCCTTGTAAGGGCCCTAACTAGAACCAGTTCTGCGTTCTCCCGGGAAATTTCAATTTGAGCGGTTGAAAACAATGTTGGCATAACGAGATTGCATAAATTGTGCCGACGGTTAATTAGGAGAATTGAATGGGGCCGTAAAGTATTATTATAATATATTTGTGTTATGTGATAATTAAACGCCAAATACTGCTGATATTCATTAATCATTAAAAGTTGTCAATATCAGTCGTAAATACCAAATTAGATTCGATTAATACATAATAGTATATTAAAAAACAAGTTTCGTAAGACACGTTTGAAGTGCACGAATTTAAATTGAAAAACGAGTCTTATGAAACGTGTATTTTATGCTATTTTTTGTAATTCGAGTTTTTATCCTTTTTTTTTTCAAAAATAAAATAAATTTTGACAATGTAGGGAAATAGGTATGTAGCAGTTGGTAACACCGTAACACTTGAAAACAGAAATTTGAACTGACAATTAGAAACTGTCAAAACACAAAATCTATTCACCTGACAAAAATGTTTCATGTGTACCTCCCAAAATAAGAGAAATTGCTCAGAGTTTAATGTCCTCATCATTGTGAACGTGTTAGACCAACATTGTCACATTGATAACTAGAAAAATTAATGACCCAATGTGACCAACTTGAACTGGTTCCATAAAATGTTACTAAAATCTCATTACAGCATCGGATGCTGTAAGAAGTCTCATTACAGCACCCGTTTGAGTACTGTTATAGCTTTCATTACCGTCGCGAATTACAAAAAGCTTATTACAGTATAACCTCGATATAACGAGCTCCGTTACACTAAATCTAACTGAATTAACTAAAACTTTAGTAATGTTTATAAACACCACTTTATATATGTACTAAATATTAAATTACACACTTAGCTAATGGGCTATATATTCTAAACGGAGACAACCTGTTGATACCTTAGCGCAATTTGCTTCATTTACAGCATTAGAACTTTCATTTAAGATAGTTTCTATGACGCTCCATCTGCAATAAGGTCGTACAGCACACATTAAGTATCTTAATGACTAAATGCATCTGCTGTTTGTAATTGATAGCGTCCAACTATTAGTTATGATGGTTTCTGCGTTCACAGAAATTGCGTTCGCGTTCAAGTGAACTGGCGCAGTTAGCGTGTCAATAAATCGCACCCCTTTCGTCTCTATTCTTTATATAAGCTGTCCCTTGTGTGCGTTGCACTCGGTCGTACGACTTTGCTGAAACCGTTACGACCCTTCTGGGAATCGACGATGACATTGTCTATTAGCGAGACTATGTACGCTACAAGTGAGCCAAAGCTCTTGCACTTTAGGAAATTGCTCCGCTACACCGGTGTTATGTGTTTTTAAAAACTAGCTTTTCCGTTTTGTGTACAACTTCTTTTTGCTTTTTTAAACCTCTTTACGTTCCTTCTACAAACTGTAAACTGTTGACCATCCCGAGAATATGGCTCTTAATGGCACTGGAGACCACAAATAAGCCAAGGTCAGACGCCTTGTCTTCGGCTAACATGGAAAAAATGGCCTATAAGCAGACCTTCCGACGGTCGCCGTAGCGAGGGGTCATATACCTCTTGTAAACGAAGATCGTATGCTTGAAAGTGTGGAGGTCAAATCGCTTGCAAATCGAAGTGTTGGAATCGAGCTGATTCGCATCATGTTGGGAAATGGACCGGACGTAATAAATCGACGGTAAATTGACTGTTAACGTACAGGAAACGGTGAGATTACCTCAGCTGTTCTCTGTGGAAATAGGAAATATTATATACCATTCTGTTTTTTTTTACAACAATATTTTTATTAAAAAGATTGTCATCATTTTAAGTACCAAGAGTTCATTATAGCCCTGTAATAGATCGCTTTGTGTCTATACGGACAGCAATCTTGCAAAGCTGTCTAGAAAATCTGGGTTCATTTTCGCCAACGGTGTTCTTTTTAAACGCCTCCTTTCATACTTTGAATGTCCTAGTTTTTTACGGAAGTAAAGTAGTGTAGGGTACTTACGGTTCTGCAATGCAACTGAAAAACCTTTCTGCATACTTTTTTTTTCTTAACTTAAATTTGGGTTAAATGTTTTTAAATTGCCTAACAAAATATTCAAGTTGTTGATTAAACGACACGTTTTGTGTGATATACCAATGTGAAAGTAGATGATTGCGAGACGGTGAAACGCAAAATCTCGTGGCATCTCCCGTACAAGGACAGATTAACGTTCTGGAGCGATTTCCCCTTTTCGCCGTACCAAAATGTGCAATGTTTAAGACAATACAGTTGGGCGTAAATAATTTCATCACTAGAAATTCGAATTATGTGTAACGATCAAACTCGGAAATTGAGAATTAATTATCTGCGGTTAATGGAAAGTGAATTAAATGGTGTTATTGATTTTGTTATCGACTTAATTGTTTTGTTCCTGAAGAAAGTGGTAGAAAGTACGAAAATATCGCATAACCGGTTTTTTATTTTTTATACACCTACATAATTTGCACAAGTCATTGATGAACGAAGCAGGATTAATTGGAGTTAATTCTAAAGTTTGATTTTGTGTTTTTCAACTGGTTTCTATTTTATATAGAATTTAAGTCTAACTAGTTTCGACCCTTAGCCATCTTCAGAGACTCTACAAATAGATTAACATCTTTCATCTTATCCATTTTACAAACAAGTTTCTTAATATTTCGTTTTGTTATGTAAAAAGATTACATATCAAAGTCGAAATCAGATTATTAGTTATTAATTTACAAAATTAAACTTTAAAAAGTTGTAAAATGAAATTAAGGACGAAGTGTTACAAGTTTACAGATTAAAACTTAAGAACGCTCTCAAAAATCGATGATTTTTTTTAATCAATGTGAAATGACCCAAAAAACACTTTAAAAATAAAAAGAAAGTGCGGAAAAGTGACTAACACTAGATTAACTTCAGTTGTAAAACTTCTATTATATGATAACTAACTTCAGGTTTAAAATGTTAACCTCACTTTTGACATATTTGTAATCTTCATTAAAAATCCTTTAAAATGAGTACAAACACGACATATTTATCGTCAATATTAATGAAGTTATGGTCAACTTCCGGTTAAGAACGTCAACGTCAATTTTGACATATTTGTCATAATCGTCGTGAAAAATCCTTTAAAATGAGTCCAAACATGATACGTTTAATTCCAATATTACTCGAGATATAAACAACTTCCGATTTGAAATGTCAATGTCATTTTGACATATTCTTAATTTTTATAAAATGTCTTAACATTTGTCACAAAAACAAAAATATAATAAAAAAAATCAAAAATTAAGGTTGGTATTAATATTTAAAAATTAATTTGCTATCTTCATTGTTGCTAACTTCGGGTTTAATGTTTTTTATTGCAACTTTTTTGTTTTTTGAGATAGGTGCATCATCTTTGGACTCATTTTAAAGGTTTTTTAATGAAGATGACAAATATGTCAAAATTGACGTTAACGTTTCAAACCGGAAGTGATTGTATTTCCATTAATATTAAAGTTAAATATGTCGAGTTTGGACTCATTTTAAAGGAATTTTTATAAAGTTGACAAATATGTCAAAATTAATAGATCGAACTTTTTGATTTTTGAGATGAATGCGTCATGTTTGGTTTTAACTCACTTTAAAGGTTATTTTATGAAGATTACGAATATAATAATAAAATTAAAGTTGACGTACATCGTGGTAATCTTTCTTATCATTATGCATTCGAGGTTTTTTGGTTTGTAAATATTATAAAATCGTAGAAACACATGCATTTACGTCAGTTTGGTATTAAGCTTAATTGTGTAAGGTAACATCGTTGAAGTATGTGGAATAAGTTTCTCGCGATTATAACTGCTAAGAAAAGTAAAAAGAAATTTATTAAAGCTTCAAAAATACACGAAAATGAATTAGTGCAGGTAATAATGTCATAGATTTCTTAATGAAAATAATAAATCCTTTAATCTTATACTTCAGCGTATAATTTAGTTGATTTAGATGAGGTCGCTTGCGGCCGAGGCGCTACATTGTTTGCCACCAGTTCGATTAAGAATTTTATTAGTTGACATAGCGACTATATCATAAAACTCATTTTTAATTATAACCTTACCTATTAACACTTATAGATTTATTCTTTTTTTTTGCAGGTAAGCTACAGACCTAGAAATAATAACAATACTACAAAGGTTGCACCAGTAAGTACATACATATACGTATAATTAAGTATTTCTGACTCATTTATAACTTCCATTAATCATAAAAGAAATCGTCGTCCAAACTAAACTATTTCAAGATATTCTTTTGCATTTTTCTAACTGTGATTGGTAACTTAATTGAGTTTTCGCGTTTTACTTTAATCCAATTTCACTTTCGTCTCCAATACACCTTATACAATACAACAAAACCATCGCTAACATACGCGATGTAACGTCTCTAATCACCACCTATTGTCTTAGCGTTTAAGCCGAAGTACTGAAAGAAGACGGACGGTCATCGAACCGTCGAGAAGGGAAAGTGTAGGCGCCCGACAATACGCGGTTTCAGGCTCACCTTTCCGATGATGATCGGTCGGTTTGATTCTGTTTGCCGAGTTACGTAGTTGTAGCAAGCGCAATGTCACGGTGAAAGCGTGTTGAATTGCAGTCGCGACTTAATAACCTCCGGTTGAGGTTGATGATCTGCGCACGGCTAAGATGCGCGCATCTAAGGTCAACAGCAATAAACCAATGGTCGCGACGGCGATGTGTGCCGTGCAAGGTAATAAATACAATTAACGCAGAAGACAAGAATATGCATTTTACCTGGATGACATTTCAAATTTGTGTTCTTTAACTCCTGTAATTCTAGAAACAATTTTTTAAATAATTTGTCGTAATAACTTATTCTTAGACCACCTATGCATTCCTTTATAAATAATCGATTGAAGAGTTATTTAATCTAAAAAGTATGACAGACGTCTCCGAGATTGACTCTTCGCAGAAAAAGCATGCGTGTCTGTATCATGAAACAATGGCATTGCATGTCTGCCACGGCAGCTGGTGAGAAACAGGCAAGCGTCTCAGGACCGCAGCTTCTTTTGCCCGATGGCATCTGCACGCGGAGACGAGCAGGTCCCGTGAAAGGCAGGTGTTATCCATCGAACGTTACATCTGTGATGGATGGTTTGAGTTAAAAATGACGCAGCCATAGATGTCTAAAAGTTATCCATTTGAAATTCATTTAGAGATCACTTAATATTATTTCATAATTTACCCAATATGGTGTGTATTATTTTTAGAGTATATTATGAACGTTATAAGAGTTTCAAGCAAGCAAAATCGCTTGTCACGTATTTCCAATATATCACATAGCTAGAAGCGACGCGAATCCGGTTGTGTAGGTCGTCCTAAGTTATCCTGCACAGGTAACCGGGTTGTTGGCGGTGGCGTGGTATAGCAGACGTTGGTTCGCATAAAAATACTGATCCGCCTCAGAAAGAAACTAAACGTGCGTCTGGTTGGATCGTTGAAACCGGCGGTTACTCGCCAGAACCGTATTGTAATTTTTTTGATATTCCTTCGACGTTTTATGTCCCCTTTGATTTACGTGCTTGGCTACAAGAATACCATCATCGCAGAATCCATGAGTTACAGCACTTTAAGAGCCCGTAAATGCTCATCAATTCTTCACGGGACATATTCGACTTTTCCCATAGTTTATGAGTGCTATTTTAAGGTGTTATTCTCCCTTCTATAGTCTGTTCAACTTTCTATCATAAATTAGTTTCTTGTCTATTCGGTGAATTTTTTTTTATTATTTATTCATTTTAATGGAAAATATTTTATGGGGCTATTATAATTTTTTAATAGCAAGTTTCGCCAAACATTAAAATTTTATGGAAAAATATTTTAACTTGGAGAATTTCTCAAGATACAAAGAACGTTATTTCATCCACTCCCAAATTTCGTAGTAAATACTTTTGACTACATTCCCTTATTTACCAGGTCATGATCAACAAAAGAAACCCAACCATTTCTCAGACTACCTACAAATTTTACACCTGTCTCTCGCAACACCACCAAAACTCGACCGAAAACGAGCACTCAGTCCGTTGCCGTCTGGAAGAAGGTGTGCGGCTTCGTATATTCATACGAGAACCCCGCTTCATCTTGCTTCTTCAGCAAGTGGTAGTGGTCTTGGTCGGTATCAGGTTGTAGCGTTTGCGGCATTCACAACAGCTGTCACTTTCTTCGTAGCGAGGAGCGCGCGAGTTCGTGCAGTGGTGTTTGGGGAAATCGATCGATTCGGGATTAAACTGTTGCATTCGTTGGAAAGGCCGGGTTTCTGATTTTTATCACAAACTACGTGTTAGCAAGTCCAAAGGTTTCTGTTATACGAGTTTACAGTAAATAGATAGCGGTTATCCAGTGTAAACCAGCGTAGGACGATTTTAAATCTCTCCAGGTGAGTTCTATTTTAAAATACCACTACTTGTTGTGTTTCTGCAGTTCATTTTAAAACAAGGTTGATGATCGAAAATGGTCGTATTTTAAAGTTCATTTGTAATTTAAAATTATTTAAAAACCGTTACAACATTGTTAATTTATTTAACAATGTTAAACTTTAATTATTTCTGTGTAATCGTAGTCCGTTATATCCTTTCTTTTAACTTTACGCATATACAGGGTGTATCTGAATGACGTGCCCAAACTTCAGGGGGTGATTCTTTAGGCAATTTTAAGGGTACTTTTTTCTCATATAAACTATCAGCGATTTCGACTCCCCTGCGGAGCTACGCCCCTTCAAAAATGGCGAAAAATTTTGGTTTATTTTTTTTTTCCCGAAAACCATTAACACCAAGAAAATGAAATTTGGGAAATATGTTTAGCTTATAATAGGGCATGTTTCGAGCCTATTTGTACTTTCAATCTTCCCTTCTAAGTTACTAAACATAACCACCCCCGTTCAATTTTTGTCTAGATCTTTTTTATGACGATGATAAATACATTGGAAATATTTTATTTAGATAGACGAAAATATTCTAAAACTTTTTTGCCTCTCTGATGTTCTTCGAAAAGTTAATAGTTTCTGAGAAAAAAATTAATTAAGCAAACACTAACTGTTAAGCTGTAGCGTTGTTAATCGAAAGTTGGAATGAATTTTTAAAGAAAAAATCTTAGCAGGCTTAGCAATCTTTGTCAGAAATATTTTTGACGTTTAAATGTCAGTGGTTTTCTTACTATTATTATTGTTTTATTTAAAATTTTGAAACGTCGAGTGAACGAGCGTAAATGCGGTAGAACTTTATTCATAAATTAATTTGAAAAACAATAATAATAGTAAGAAAACCACTGACATTTAAACGTCAAAAATATTTCTGACAAAGATTGCAAAGCCTACTAAGATTTTTTCATTAAAAATTCATTCCAACTTTTGATCGACAACCCCGTTGTTGAACGGGCAGTGTTTGCTTTATTATTTTTTTTCTCAAAAATTAGTCGTTTTTGGAAAAATTTTAGAGAGACAAAAAAGTTTTAGGATACTTTCATCTACCTATGTAATTTTTTTTTAATGTATTTACCCTCTGCATAAAAAAATTTTAGCAAAAATGTAAAGGGGGTGGTTACGTTTAGTAGTTTAGAAGGATAGGTTGAAAGTACAAATAGGGTGAAAACGTGCCCTACTACCAGTTAAACATATTCCCCAAATTTCGTTGTCCTAGCGTTTATGGTTTGTGAGAAAAAAAAAATTAAACCAAAATTTTCCGCCATTTTTGGAGGGGTGTAGCTCCTTAGGGGAGCCCAAGTCGCCCATGGTTTATATATCAAAGTACCCTTAAAATTGCCTAAAGAATCACCTCCTGAAGTTTGAGCTGTCATTCAGATACACCCTGTATATGCATTATAAACATTAATCATTATACTTATTGGGTTGTTTTATAAAGCTAATACTAATACAAAAATACACTCAATTTACTTAGCCATATCAAATACGTAAAGTGGGAATTGATTGCATATACAGGGTGTCACACAAAAAACGCCACAAGCTGTAGCTCTGTCATTTACATTCCGATTTTCATGAGCGGGTTATCAAATGAAATGGTTTCATGAATACTATGTTTCATGCTACAAACAAATTTTTTCCAAGGCCGTCTTCAATTTTAAGCGATTATTAACTTTTGCTTTTCAAATTGCTCTATATATTTTTCTTTACGTCATTGGACAGAGATTGTTTTTCTGAATCCACTGATGTACAATACATCCATTTTGAATATAATTTTAGTAGAGAAAAGACACCTGTATATACAGGTTGCCACACAAGAACGCCGCTAGCTGTATCTCTGTCATTTACCTTCCAATTTTCATGACCTAGCTATCAAATGAAATGGTTTGATGAATACTATGATTCATGCTACAAATAAACTTTTTCCAACGCCATCTTCAACTTCTAGCGATTATCAACATTTGATTTTCAAATTGCTGGGTATGTTTTTCTTCAAGCTATTGGATAGAGTTTTTTTTTCTGAATCCATTAATGTACAATACATCAACATTAATTGTAATTGTAGAATAGAAAAACATTAAAGTAGTTTCTGAACATTCTCTTAAAGTCACTTGTGTTACACTGTAGTGTGCATCATTTACAACTGCTTGGGCATTGAAATAGCATTTAATGACTGTTATCAGTTTTGCGTGTTATTTTTTTCCATGGCACACTGCAGTATTACAGAAGTGACTAATTGTAAGACAATGTTCGGAAAATTTTAATTGTTTTTCTCTGCTAAAATTACAATTAATGTTAATGTATTGTACATCAATGGGCTCAGAAAACAATTTCTATCCCATAACGTGAAAAAAAAACATACCGAGCAATTTGAAAATCAAAAGTTGATAATCGCTTGAAATCGAAGATGGCGTTGGAAAGAGTTTATTTGTAGCATGAATCATAGCATTCATCAAACCATTTCATTTGTTGCCTCGTTCATAAAAATCGGAAGGTAAATGACAGAGTTACAGCTTACGGCGTTCTTGTGCGACAACCTGTATATACAGATGTCTTTAAACTGCTAAAATTACATTCAAAGTGGATGTATTGCACATCAGTGGATTCAGAAAAACAATCTCTATCTAATGACGTGAAGACAAATATATGGAGCAATTTGAAAAACAAAAGTTAATAATCGCTTAAAATTGAAGATGGCCTTGAAAAAAATTTA